GCTCAAGAAGCTCGTCCTGGTCCGGCGCCGCCAGCTCCGCAGCAGCCGAGGGAGTGGGAGCGCGGCAGTCGGCCACCATGTCTGCTATTGTGAAGTCCGTCTCGTGGCCCACGGCGCTGATAACGGGAGCGCGGCTTGCGTAGATGGCTCTGGCGACCGTCTCCTCGTTGAAGGGCCACAGGTCTTCAAGCGACCCTCCGCCGCGTGCCAGGATGACCAGGTCTATGTCATCCTCAGCGTTGAGGGCGTCAAAGGCGTCTACAATTCCCCCGGCCGCCGCGTCGCCCTGGCGAGCGTGGGCTCAAGGTACGGAGAACGAGTGAGTCTAAGGACGACGACGCGTACAACTGAAAGCTGAAATGTAGCGACAGAGGAGGGGGTAATAAATATTAGTGTAAAAATAAGTGAAAACGAAGACAATAAAAGAAAGTGTTTAAAAGGACGGAAAGAAACAAAGATAACACAGAATATAGTGAAAGGCGACAACGTAAATATTATCACGAAATCTACAAACCGGGTGCTAAAGAGACCAGATCACCAAAACTTGATGACCTGTAGCTGGAGAAAGAGAATAATAGCGATAGTACGACAGACACAGGGGTCGCTAGGAGCAGGAGCGCAGCGAAAGAAAAGAGGGATGAGAGCAGAAGTAGAGCGAACGAGAAAAGAAAGGCGGCATGGGGGGGTGCGTTTACGAAGGCGAAAGCAAGCTATCAGAGAAGAGCCTGGGAGCATTATTCAAGTAAGTAAGAGTAACGACATCAGGAAACAAGAAAGATACATGATAGAAGCAAAAGCTTATGCCAATGCGAAACGTAGGGGAGGTAACAGAAATAAATGCGAAAGGGGTCTAAGATAAAGGGGTCAGAACACCTCAACCAGAAAGATAAAGGAATATACACCGGATCACAAAAACACGCAGGAGGACATTAGCGAATGAAAAAAAGAAAAAGGAGAAAAAGGCGGCACAGCACAACAGAATGCATATGAAAAACCAACACACTTCCACGGGGAGGGACAAAAGCTGGTATAAACAATAGGGAGAGTAACACAGTAATATGCGGATGATTTGTATCGGGAGGCGAGGGAGGGATGTCTCCCTACCACCATGGGGTATCTACGCCGTATGATGTTCTGGATGTCGTGCCAGACCGCGCCGGTGGGAGACGTCGCCACTCCGATGCGCTTGGGGAAGACGGGAAGTGGTCTCTTGCGGGAGACCTGGAACAGGCCCTCGGCCTCCAGCTTCACTTTGAGGCGCTCCAGCTCCAGGTGCAGCTCGCCAACGCCCTCCGGCTGGGCCAGGTCTGCAATGAGCTGCAGGTCTCCCCGGACCTCGTAGAGCGAAACGCGTCCGTGAGCGATGACGGCTCCGCCCTCGGCCAGGTGCTCGCCGCCGTGAGCAGGGCGGAACATGACGCACCGGACCTGGCTGGCTGAGTCCTTGAGTGTGAAGTAGAAGTGGCCCGCCGCCGAGCGCGTCAGGTTGGAGACCTCGCCGCGCATCCACAGGTCGTTCAGGAAGAAGTCGGCTTCCAGCGAGTCCTTGAGGTATCGGGTGATCTGACTGACGGAGTAAACGGGCAACTCAGCTCACCCTTTCAAGATACTCCCCCGAGCGAGTGTCTATCCTCACCGCATCGCCCACATTTACGAAGAAGGGCACCTGCACGTCCAACCCAGTCTCCAGTTTGGCGGGCTTGGTGCTCCCTTGGGCCGTGTTGCCCTTCACCGCCGGAGGGGTGTCCTCCACCCGAAGTTCAACGAACGTGGGCAGCTCCACGGATATGGGGTCTCCCTTGTATAAAACCAACTCCACCTGGTCCTGCTCCTTGATGTACAGGAGGGCGTCTCCCAGCCTGTCGGTGGTGAGGGGGTGCTGGTCGAAGGTGCTGGTGTCCATGAAGTAGTAGAGGTCACCGTCGCTGTACAGGTACTGAGCCTCGCGGGTGTCCACCTCTGCAAGGGTGAGCTTCTGGTTCCCCGGCACGTTGCGCTCCATAGTGCGTCCCGTGCGCAGGCCGCGGAGCTTCAAAGTCAGCACCGGGGCCCGCTGCTGCATCTTGGTGTGCTTCCAGTCGAGAACCTGCCAAGGCTCATCCTCCAGTTCGATGACTGTGCCTCTTCTCAGTTCGCTGTAGCTGATCGTCATTCTATACTCCGATCCTGTCTTGCTTTGGGGCTTTGCTGATTACCCTGGCCCTGCCGTTCTCCAGCACAACCACGTCCTCTATGCGGACACCGCCCCATCCTGTGATGTATATGCCCGGTTCAACGGTGAAGGCCATCGTGTCCTCCAGCACCATCGTGGAGTTGGGCCCCACGCCGGGCAGCTCGTGGACGGCCAGGCCGACGCCGTGTCCCAGGCTGTGGCCGAAGTTGTCGCCGTAGCCCGCCTCCTCGATCACCGCCCGCGCCAGGCCGTCGGCGTCCCCGGCGGTCATGCCCTTTTCCACCGTGGCAATCGCCGTAAGCTGCGCTCCGAGAACGGTGTCGTAAATCTTGCGGAAGGTGTCGTCATACTGGCCCAGGCAGATGGTGCGGCTGAGGTCGCTGCAATAGCCCTCGTACTTGGCGCCCATGTCGATTATCAGGGGCTGGCCCTCCAGAATGGGCACGTCCGCGGGCCTGTGATGGGGCAGGGCGGCGTTTGGCCCGGCTGCCACAATGGTCTCGAATGAGACCGACTCCGCTCCAAGTTCACGCATGGCCCTCTCCAGCATCCACGCCACCTCAACCTCCGTGTGGCCTGGCCGGATGGTCGGGGCAATCTGGGCAAAGGCCTGATCTGCAATGTCTATGGCTCTGGTGAGTATTGCCATCTCCTCGGGTCCTTCACGGAGCGAAGCTCTTCCACCAGTCCGGAGGTAGCCACGAGGGCGACGTCCAGGCTGGGGCTGCTTTCGCTGATGGACTTTGAGGATGCCTGAGTGGGAGGCAACGGTAACGTGCTGGCTCTCGAAACCCAGGCGGTGAATCCCCAGCTCGCCCAGGAGACCGGTGAGCCAGTCAACGCCGCCCCTCATGCGGTGGACGCGAAAGTCCGGCGATTGCTGACCGGCCTGCTCCACGTAGCGGAAGTCCGTGGACAGCACGGCATCCGTTGCGGTTATGAATAGGGAACCGGCCGAGCCTGTAAATCCCGACAGGTATCGCCGGTTCTCCCCGGACGATATCATCAGGGCGTCAACGCCTGTCTCCTCGAACTTGCCCTTATCTTGTCCAGCCTTGCTTTCATCCGGTCGCTCCTTCGTTTATTCTGGCCGTCAGGAACTCCAGGGCGGCTACGTATCCCCTCCAGCTGAGGCCGCTTATCTGGCCCACGGCCACGGGGCCACCACGGAGCGGTGACGCCATTTTTCCCTGGCGTACAGGTTGGAAAGGTGCACCTCTACAACGGGAAGCGCTGTATCCACCAGCGCCTCTCTGAGAGACAGGCCGTAGTGGGTGAGCGCGCCCGGGTTATCACTATCCCGTTGGCGGTGGGAGCCTGCGCCTGGAGGTAGTCAATAATCGACCCCTCGCTGTTGGACTGGAAGAAGCTCACGTCCGTCCCAAGCTCCTGGGCGCGGCGTTGCACCGCCTCCTCTATGTCGTGCAGGGACATGGAGCCGTAGATGGCGGGGTCGCGCTGCCCCAGCATGTTCAGGTTTGGCCCGTTGATTATCAGGAGTCTCAATGCAGTATTTAGCTCCGATAGTGATTTTGGCGAATCCGGCTACTGAGTACCCGGGGCTTCATCGACTCTGGCTCTTGGATGCGCCTTCAGGTACTCCTTGCGGGACTGGGCCATGCTCACGTGGGTGTATATCTGGGTGGTGGCCGGGGATGAGTGCCCAAGCAACTCCTGTACGATGCGCAGGTCCGCGCCTCCATCCAGCAAATGCGTCGCAAAGGTGTGCCTGAGCATATGCGGGTGCACCTTGGTGTCAGTGGACTGGAGGCTGTAGCGTTTGACCATCTCCTGTACGGAGCGCTTGGTGAGACGGCCGCCAAAGCGGTTGAGGAACAGGGCGTCGGTCTCCGACCACCCAGCTTGGGACGCCCCTCGTTGATGTAGCGCTCCAGGGCCTCTTGCGCTGGCTTGCCGAAGACCACCTCTCGCTCCTTGGACCCCTTGCCTATAGTCCTGACCCGCCGGCGCGTCATATCCACGTCCTTCATATCCAACCCTGATAGCTCGCTCACCCTCAGGCCGGTGGCGTAGAGCACCTCCAGGATCGCCCTGTCCCGAATCTGCATTGCCGGCGACTTGGGCTTGTCCTTGGTCTCAGGGTCGTCCGGCGTGGTCAGCAGGTCCACAACCTCCTCCTTGCCCATGATACGGGGGAGGGTTTTCTCCGCCTTGGGTATCAGCGCCCTGGACTGGCGGCTGCCACGCTTCCACAGGGGGCTGGGTGGCACAACTCCCCTACTTACCAGATAGCGGAAGAAGGAGCGGAGGGCTGCCAGGGACCTGGTGACGCTTGCCCTCTCATGTCCCCGCTTTATCTGGGATCGGCCCGTTTGGATGGGCCGGCTGGACATGAGCCAGGCAACGTAGCGCCTCAGGAAGCCGCGATCGACCTCAGTGGGGGATTCGACGCCCTGCTCCTCCATGAACTGGAAGAACGGGGCCAGGTCGTTCAGGTAGTTCCTAACGGTGTACTCGGACAGGCTGCGCTCCCCTCGAAGGTGGTCCCTGTACTCTTGGAGGTATTCCTGCTCCTTCACCGGAGACGCGCTCATACAGCCACCTCAACCTCAACCTCAACCTTGTCCTGCTCCTGCTCCGATTTCAGGGGCGTCTCCCTGGAAGTCGCAAGCGGTGCAACGCGCCCTGTTCCGTGCTGCGGCCAGGAGCAGAGCACCGCACTCGGGGCATGGCTGTGGCAGGGGGCGCTGCCTGACGGAAAAGTCGCAGGTGGGGTAGTTGGAGCAGCCAGTAGAATGTCGAACCCCGCTTGACCGCCGCGCCTCTGTACAAGGTCGCCGTCGCAGCGGGGGCAGTTGGCCCCGGTGGGTATGCGATATGGCTTGCTGCTCCTGCACTCCGGGAAGCCGGTGCAGGAGAGGAAAGGCCCGAAACGTCCCATCTTGATGGCCATTGGCCTCTCGCACTCCTCGCACATCTGGTCCGTCAGCTCGTCTTCGACCTTCATCCTGGGGATGTCCATCGCCTCTTCAACGGACTTGCTGAAGCCCTGGTAGAATTCGCCGAGCATAGGCACCCACTCGCGGTTGCCCTGGGCTATCTCGTCCAGGTCCTCCTCCATCTGGGCGGTGAAGCCCGCGTTCATAATGTCCGGGAAGTTCTGGTTGAGCAGGTCGCACACGGTGATGCCCGAGGGCGGCGGGCGTGAAGCGCCCGGCCGTTTTGGTGACGTAGTGTCTGTTCTGAATGGTGGAAATGGTGGGCGCGTACGTACTGGGCCTGCCGATCCCCTGCTCCTCAAGAGTCTTCACTATCGATGCCTCTGTGTACCTGGGAGGAGGCTGTGTGAAGTGCTGCTTTGGGTCAAGCCCCAGGCACTTCAGGACGTCGTCCTCCTTCATCTCCGGCAGCAGGGCCTGATCGCCCTCGTCCGAGGAGTCGTCCACGTCTTCAAGGTATAGCCGGCGAAAGCCGGGGAACTTGAGGACGCTGCCAGTAGCCCTGAACATATAGGCGTTGCCGGACGTGGTGGAGGCGTCGATGTCCACGGACGTGGAGTCCAGGAGGGCGTCGGCCATCTGGCTGGCCAGGGTGCGCTTCCAAATCAGGTCGTACAGCCTGAGCTGGTCGCGGGACAGTAGCCTGGCGATGCTGTCGGGATCTCTTGGAATGGAGGTAGGCCGTATGGCCTCGTGGGCCTCCTGTGCGGACTTGCTCTTGGTTTTGTACGTTCTGGGCGATTTGGGGGCGTACTCAGCGCCGTACTGCTTGCGTATGTACGCCTGCGCCTCGCGAAGGGCCTGGGACGAGAGGGTGGTGGAGTCGGTGCGCATGTAGGTGATGAGCCCCACCGAGCCCTCGTCTCCCATGTCCATCCCTTCGTAGAGCTGCTGGGCGAGCATCATGGTCTTGCTGGTGGAGAAGCGCAGCTTCCGCCACGCCTCCTGCTGGAGCGAGCTTGTGGTGAAAGGCGCGGCCGGCCTCTGCCGGATCTGCCGGGTCTTGACGCTGGAAATCTTGTAGGCGGCTCCCTCCAGGTCGGCGACCAGCTTTGCGGCGTTCACCTCCGACGGGATTTCCAGCCTGCCCCTCTGCCCGCGCAGGGAGTGGAGGGCCGCTTTGAAGCCGCGAGCGGCAGCCGCCGTGGTTTCAAGGTGCGCATCGATGGTCCAGTACTCCTTGGGAACGAAGGCCTGTATCTCCCGCTCCCTGTCCACTACGAGGCGCAGCGCCACCGACTGGACGCGGCCCGCAGAGAGGGCCCTCCGCCGGGCGTAGTGGTGTACAACCTTCCGCCACAGGACGGGGCTGAGCTTGTAGCCCACCAGCCTGTCCAGGATGCGACGCGTCTGTTGTGCATTGACCAGGTTCAGGTCAATGTCCCTGGGCTGCTCGAAGGCCTCCTGAGGGCGTCCTCAGTGATTTCGTGGAAGACCACTCGCTTCAGGGACCTATTCTCAAGCCCGGCAGAATGCACCAGGTGCCAGGCAATGGCCTCCCCCTCTCGGTCCGGGTCGGTGGCAAGGTAGATGGTGGTGGCGTCTTTGGAGTCCCGCTGTATGTCCCGCACCAGCTTCTCTTGTCCTCCATACCTCGTAGCTGGGTGTGAAGCCGTCGTCCACGTCCCACGCCGAGCCCCTTCTGGGGAAGGTCGCGCACGTGACCCAGTGAAGCGACGAACGTTGTAGTCGTCGCCCAGGATCTTCCTACGGTCCTGGCCTTGGCCGGGGACTCTACTATGACAAGATTTTTAGCCATTGAATATCATCTCGGCGAGACCTGGTATTCGGCCTGCGCCTCTCGCGTTCTAATGTAGCTCATTCCTCCCACCTGTCTCACCAGCCCCTTGATCTCCATCATAGCCAGGGAGCTGCTGACGGAGGCCACAGGAAGGCCGGATGTCCTCTGGATATCGTCTATGTGCAAGGGCTCGAAGGTGATGTATCTCAGCAATTGGGTCTCCTGATCGTTATGGGGTAGGATGGGGAGCAGCTCTATCTGCTGGCCCAACGCGGAGAAGTTCAACTCCTCCAGGACGTCGGTATAGCTCAGGACCGTCTTCGCTCCCTGCTGGATTAGCCGGTTGGCCTCCTTGCTGGCGGGCGAGAAGATGCTGCCGGGCACGGCCATGACCTCCCTGTCCTGGTCCAGGGCGTGCCTCACGGTCCACAGCGCGCCGCTTCCCTCGCCGGCCTCCACTACAACCGTGCCGGGTGTCAGGCCGCTCAGGATTCGGTTTCTGCGGGGGAAATTCTTGGCCTCCGGTCGGATGCCGGGCGGGTGCTCGCTTATCAGCGCGCCGCTCTCGGACACTTCCCGCGCCATCGAGGCGTGCTCCGGGGGGTACACGGTGTCCAGTCCGTTGGCGAGGACGGCCAGGGTGCGACCTTCGGAGTCCAGGGCGACGCGATGGGCAATGGAGTCGATGCCCCGGGCGAGGCCGCTCACTATGGTGACGCTGTTCTTCGACAGGTCCTCGGCCAGCTGGCGGGTCACCTCCCGTCCGTAGGACGTGGTCTTGCGCGTCCCAACTATCGTCACGGAGCGCCCGTCCTCAGGCAGGATATTGTGCCTTGACGTACAGCACAGGAGGGTAGTCGTACACCTCTCTGAGCAGGCTGGGATAGGCGGGGTCTCTGACGGTGATGGCGTCTATGCCCAGCTTCTCAAGGCGTTCCCACTCGGCGTCCGGGGATATGGACGGTCGGCGGGAGACGATGGCCCTCACGGAGCGCTGGTCCAGTCCGGCGGCGGCCAGGTCGGAGGATCCGGCGCGCCAGGCCGTCTCCAGATCGCCAAAGTAGCTCTCCAGTATGGCGAACCTGGCCCTGCCGATGGTGGATATGCGGTTGAAGGCCACCCAGTACTTGGCCTGGTCTGTGCTTGTAGTCATAATCACACTTTAGGATAGCACAGGGGCAAGGGGTGGACAACTCCAGATAGCGCGCTCCCAGGGTCTTTCGATTGTACACTATGCACTGAGCCGAAGCGAGAGTCTCATCCTTCCTAATACTCGTCTGAGTATCCTGAAGAAGGATTTAGCTGCTTAGACTTCGCTGAGTCAGAATCAGCAATTCTAACAATCGAAAGACCCTGGCGCGCTCCTATAGGCTATGGACGGGCATTGGCATGGGGCGTCGAACCCAGGTCGCGCCAAGCTGTGTTGACGACAGACGCTACGGGTCGATGAACGTCATCAGGGAGTGTTTCACATCATCAAGCACAGGAGTTTCTCCCACCGAGAGCTTGACTCCAAGGGGCCGCGTGACCGACTCGAGCAGGCCGGCTGTGCTCGCTGAGTCGACGACTATCTCAGATGGCAATATGCTCACCTTCTCCAGCAGTCTCACAAGCGCCTCTGACGTTGTATTGTCGAAGGGATAGCCCCCAAAGGCCTCCGTACCCAGTATTAACGAAGAACCCCTGTCCACGACAGGATCATGGTCGGGAAGAAGGGTCGTTCCCCTCGCTCCTCCTGGATCGGTGTTTGCAGATAGAAGATGCTCAGCTCCCAGACCAACGGTCCCCTGGGCTTCGACTGAGCCAACTGGTGGAGCCGCTCCGAGTCAGGATAATCAGGGACTGGCTCAGCTGGGCGCGGCGGCATGAAGGCTTCCCATCGGTCTTGCCATGCACCGTCCCGAAAGACGCGGGTCAGGATCAGGCTTGGGTCGCTTTCCGCGTAGAGGACCTCTTCGCCTCCTGCCGTTCTTGAAGCTATGTCAATCACGTTTCTCAACGCTATCGTCAGGAACTCAGCCTCGTCCGAGTTCAGGCGCCAGGGCATATAGCCTGTGGCGATACTGCGAAACAGAGGCCACTTGCCTCGCCCCCTGTACCTGAGTCCCAAACCACGTATGACGTCGCGATCCGCTGTGTCCAAGTCTTCTCTGTCGGCAAGCATGGCAGACAAGGCGCGCATCATGTAAAACGCTTCTAGTGACTCCGGGTCGACATCTCCCGTCATCAGCGCCAGGTAGCCTGCCAGTCCCTCGTCGCCGATATGTACACTCAGCCCGTATTCTATCTCGCTACTGCCCATGACAGCACAGTAACCCTTGTACTCTCCGGATGGGTTCTCAACGGCCACGACGTCCGTGTCTCCCAGCCACCGCCAGGGTGTTGCCGCACAGTAGTCCATAAACGCCTTGTGCAGGTCTAGCCACTGTTCCATAGTCGGTTCGGTCATTACTGCTCCATTGCCAAACATCTACCGGAGCCAGGATAGCGCTCAAGGCGCCGTTGCAGTGAGCGCGGTCTGCCGGTCCTGTTCACCCGCCGGGCGTTCAGCCTGGCGGCGTAAGCTCGCTGAGGAGGTCCTCGACCTTCTGCCCAATGACGTCCCTTATTGCCCTGACCTCGTCGATGGGCTGCCCCTTGGGGTCCGGCAGTCCCCAGTCCTCCACGTCTCTCAAGAATATAGCAGGGACAGGCCTCGGAGTCGATGGCGCAGCCCATTGTGACCACTCTTGCGCCTGCTCGACCATCTCGTCGGTAAGCAGCTGGGGACGCTCGACCCGGAGGTCGAACCCCATCTCCTGCATGGCCGTGGCTACAATATCGTGGACTCCCTCTCCGGGCTCTGTGCCGGCCGACTCGGCCCGTAGAGCCAGGCCGCGCTCAGAGGCGATTCTGTTGAACATCGCTTTAGCCATCTGGCTCCGGCCGGCGTTGTGGACGCACACAAATAGTATCTCTGCATCGGATAGCCTCCTATTCCGCTTCCTCGGCTTGCCGCTTCCGGAGTGGTCCCAGGATGAACTCGTGTACGGCCGCGCCTATCGGCCCGCCTATGAGTGGCCCGATGATGTAGACCCAGAAGCCGGACGACGGCCCGGGTATCGCTATTGCGTCCCAGCCGGCCAGGTAGGCGACTATGCGCGGGCCGAAATCGCGCGCCGGGTTCCAGCCGGCCTGTGTCAGCGGGGCGAACAGGCTGATGAGCGCTGCCACCGTAAAGCCAATGAAGAAAGGCGCCAGGTGCTTGGTGGGCAGGCCGCGTTGTGGCGGTCTACCAGGGAGAATATCATGAGCACCAGGACGGCCGTACCGAGGCCTCCACCACCAGGGCTTTTGCCGGGGAGATCAGGGAGCGAGCGGCTTCGTCTGTGCCGAATACGGCGGGATTTGGGAAGTACTCCCCGAACACCATCGCCGATAGCTGGCTGCCGGGTTCGCCTCTGACCAGCCCCTGGACAGCCTCAAACTCTGTGATGAAGGAGCCGAACAGCCACAGTATGGTGAGCCCGCCCAGGACGCCTCCAACCATCTGGGATATCCAGTAGGGGAGCAGCCGGTTCACGGGGAACTCGTCGCGGCGGAAGATGGCAAAGGACAGGGACACCGCCGGGTTCAGGTGCGCCCCCGATATGGCCGCCGTCGCGTAGATGGCCAGGGTTATTCCAAAGCCCCAGACTACAGCCACCTGCCACAGGCCAACCTGTGCGCCGGTCAGCACGGCGGCGGCCACAGACCCCGTGCCGAAAAGCACCAGCAGGTATGTGCCCACAACCTCCGCAACGCATATCTGTGCCAGGCGCGCTGGGCGTCATGCCAACGCCTCTCGCAAAGAGGGTCGTTCGCGCGCTGTGCGCAAGATGCCAGCAACCCAACCCTCCTGTCGATGTCGTTGTACGCCTCCTCGAAGGCCTCCAGGGTGCCGACTCGCAGATCGGGTACCGGACTGCGGAGGGCATCCTGCTGTAGCCCTACGTAGTGTAAAACGTATTATAGCGCGTGGTGCCGAGAGCAAGGATCGCATAGATCTCGAAGATTGCCTGACGCTGCTGGTCTTCAATATCAACCACCCGACTGTCATATTTCTGTAATCGGTCGCCTTTGTCGCTGAGTATTCCTTCGGAGTGCCGATCCTGCAGTTGTTTCCGAGAGCGTGAGCGATGACCTTCAGGTTCGCCAATCGCTTCTCGCAATAGCTTGAACGCGAAGGTGGCAGACCCATGCCTTGAGCTATCGGCGCATGCTGTCGGATGCGTTGCCGCATTCCATTGGAGCGTCCAGTGTAGACGGGCTTATCATCTTCGTAGAAAACGTAAACCCCTTTTTGTGGAAGATCCCGCAGGTTGTCCCAAGTGAACGGCTGACAACTCTTGAGATTTTCGAGCAGAGGGCTCATGTTGCTCGATGATTGAGCAGTAGAAAGTTGCGCCTGTGTCATGCTTCGGGAGCGTTGCATAACTGGACGTAGGCATAGGTGCACGGATCTGCAGGATCTAAAAGCGCTGCCTTTGAAGAAACGCTATAGTCCCGTTTCACTGGGAATGCAGAGAAGTCGCTTTCGGAGACACACCGGAGATGGTCTCCTTCGAGGAATGACGGAGAAGGGTGAGCGCCTCCGCCCTACGCCCCTTCCGCTTCTCGCCAGAGGTGGTAGTCCACCAGGCGCTTGACGGCTCGGGACGCGCGGCCCATGTTGGGGAATATGGCGAATCCCCTCTCGATGCAGTGGCGCCGCAACTGCTGGGTGGCCTCGAATTGCCCTGGGTCCTCCGGCGTGATGTCGGATATCACCAGCGCGACCGGCTTGCCCAGGTTCTCGGCGATGTCCGCAGTGTGGTCAATCATCCGCGTCGCCCTCTGCTGCCTCGCGGGGTCAGGGCCGGCCCCGATGTTGTTGACCACGACGTCGTATTCGGGGCTTTCCCCAATCAGCTGCACCACGTCGTAGGGGTCAGGTTGCTGCCGCCCATTATCGAGCTGTCCACGGGGTTGGTCACCCACGCGCCAAAGAAGGGGTCCTGCCGTTCCAGCTCCTGGCGCACGTCCTCGGGGATTTGCTGCAGATGAAGGCCCTCCTCCTCGCACTCGTCCGCCGAGAGGACGCTCCTTCCTCCCGCGCCTCCGCCGACCAGGAGATTGAAGCCCTTGGCGGGCGGCATGGTGGAGAAGGCAACCAGCATGTCCATCAGCTCATCAAGACTCTGCGCGTTGGTGACACCGGTCTGACGGCACATGGCCTCCCAGACCTCGCGTGTGCCGGCCATGGAAGCCGTATGGGAGGAGACCATGTGGGTCCCAGCCTGTGTCCTGCCGCCCTTCAGCAGGACAACCGGCTTGCGCTTTGAGGCGTTGCGGAGAGCCTTGAACAGTCGTTTGCCGTCCCTCACGCCCTCGATGTACCCGCCGATGATCTCCGTCTCCGGGTCTTCGGCGAAGTAATCGATAAGGTCTGCTTCGTTCAGGTCCAGGGCGTTGCCGTAGCTGACGACCTTGCTGAACCTGAGACCGCGGCTGGCCCCGGTGGAGATGATTTCGCCTCCGTTGCCTCCGCTCTGGGAGATGATGCCCACATTGCCGGACTCCTGGGGGAAGTCACGGCCCCAGGCGATCCCCTCTTTCGGATAGTAGAGGCCCATGCAGTTGGGGCCAAGGATGCGCAGACCGCCGGCCCGCGCCTTCTCCAGCATCTCGTACTCCAGCTGGGTCTCCCTCTCGAAGCCCGTTTCGCTGAACCGGGCCGTGAACAGGTGAAGCACCTTGGCGTTCTTGCTGATGCAGGCTTCCACCAGGTCTATGATGTCCCGGTTGGGGATGGCGGAGATGACGTAGTCCACGTCCTCGGGGAGGTCGCGCACGGACTTGTAGGTGGGGACTCCCAGGACTTCGGGGGCCCGGAAGTTGATGGGGTATGATTTACCCTTGAAGTTATCAAGTACGTTCTTGAAGTAGGTGTGGCCGGTCTTGTCCGGCGATTCTGAGGCTCCGGCAACGGCAATGGAGCGGGGATGGAATAAGTAGTCTATTTCAAGTCCCATGATCCCTCCAGCGAAGGCTTCGAAATGTATTGTTGGGTTATTCTTATTACTCTTCTTCCAGGACTACCCGGGCGTCCACGGCGACCAGCCCGTCGGAGTAGCAGAAGATGGGGTTGAGGTCGAGCTCCTTCACCTCTTCATGCTGCTCCAGGAAGCTCGACAGTTTCAGAAGAGCCTCTTCAATACTCTCCAGGCTGCAGGCCGGGAACTGGCGGTATCCCTGGAGAAGGGGAAGGCTCTTGATCTCGCGCACCATCTCGCGGGCGTCTCGTGGGGTCAGGGGCACCAGTCGAAGGGACACGTCTTTCAGCATCTCCACGAGCACTCCGCCAAGTCCGAACATGATGACGTGACCGAACTGGGGGTCCTTGTTGGCGCCGATGATGATCTCTACGCCGGGGTCGGCCATCTTCTGCACCGAGACTCCCAGAATGGTCGCCGACGGAACCGCCTCCTGGGTGGAGGATACTATGGAGTCGAATGCGCCTCTGACCTGCCGCAGGCTGTCGAGGCCGACCTTGACACCGCCCACGTCGCTCTTGTGGGTCACCTCTGGCGAGACCACTTTCAGGACTACGGGCAGCCCCATCTGCTGGGCCAGCTTGGTAGCCTCGGCCCTGGTGCGGGCCAGGAGGGTGTCCGTCACGGGAATGCCGGACTCCCGCAGCAATTCCTTTGATTCCACCTCTGTGAGGAGTGTCCTGCCATCCTGGCGCGCTTTTTGAAGAACATCAGCAACTGTCATATGTCTCCTTTTTCACAATCAACTTGTGGAGATTAACAATTTGCCATTCTCTTGTCAACTTCTGGCGCGCGCCGCGCGGTAGTCCAAGCATGTGGTGGTTATGGCGCACGACACCGCTCATACTGAGCTTGTCGAAGTAAATGAGCGGTGGCAGCTACGCCAGCAGTCTACCCGCTCGTATGGTTCGACATGCTCACCCCCGTATCAAGTACGGGGCAGGCTATGAGCGGAAAGAGATGTCGGTACAAAGAACTTGGGAATATTGGGAAGGCGTCTGGTCTTGTTCCATTTCGTCCAGAGTCCTATCCTTTAACCATAATCAGATGATTGCAAGAGTCTCAAGCGCTATTGTAGGTATCCCTCTGGTGCTGGCTGCCGTCTGGGCAGGCGCGCCCTGGTTCTCCCTGTTGGCGGCAGTCGCGGGATCTCTTGGTGTGCTGGAGTTCTACAGACTCGCGGAGGAGCGAGAGGCGCGGCCCGAAGTCGTCTTGGGCATCGGGGTGGACGCTGCTCTTCATAATCAGCGGGCACCTGGGCGGCTCGTTGACTATGTGGGCGCTTCTTGGTGGAGGAGCGGCCGTCTTTGCATGGCACCAACTGGGTCGACTGAGAAGACTGTGGGGAGCGCCGTCGCTCGGCTTCCGGGACGCCATGCGCGACTACGGCTATACCACTGCGGGCGCCATCTACCTTGGGTGGCCCCTTTCGCTGGCGCTGGTCCTGCGCGCCGAGGTGCAGGGCCTGGAGTGGATTCTGATAGCCCTGTTGGGGACCTTCGCAACCGATACGGGGGCTTTCTTCACGGGCAGGGCAATTGGCAGAAGGCCCCTGGCGCCCAGTATAAGCCCAGGCAAGACGCAGGAGGGAGCGGTAGGAGGCTTCCTGGCAGGTGTCGCGGCCGTGATGGCCCTGGCGTTCTGGCTCGATCTGCCCGTATCTGTGCCGGAGTCGGCTGTGCTTGGGGCGCTGGTTGCCGTGGCCGGCCAGGTCGGCGACCTTGTGGAGTCGAAGATCAAGCGGTCAGCCGGCGCGAAGGACGCTGGCGGGCTTATCCCGGGCCACGGCGGAATTCTGGACCGGCTTGATAGCGTTGTGTTCGTAATTATCGTGGTATATGCTTTCTTTGTAATCGTTTCTCTGTAGGACGGGCAATGTGAAGAGACTGGCCATATTGGGATCTACAGGCTCAATAGGAAGGCAGACACTGGACATAGTACGAGCCTTCCCTGAGGAGTTCTCCGTGGTAGGGCTCTCGGCAGGGCACAACCTGGACCTGCTTGCAGAGCAAGCTCGCGAGTTCCAGCCCGAGGCGGTCTCCTGCGAGGAGCCTCCCGAGTCCCTGGCGTCCAGTCTTCCCCCGGCGTGTCAGGTGGTCTCGCATGAAGACGTCGCGAGCCATCCCGATGCGGACACGGTCATGGCGGCCAGCGTCGGCAAGGCGGGCCTGGCGCCCATATTGGCCGCCATTCGGGCGCAGAAGACGGTGGCGCTTGCTAACAAGGAGCCGGTGGTCATGGCGGGGCATATAGTCATGGGCGAGGCAAGACGCCACGGGGTGGATATCCTCCCCGTGGACAGCGAGCCCAGCGCCATATGGCAGTGCCTTCGCGGAGAGCAGAAGGACCTGTCCAGGGTCGTGATAACTGCTTCCGGGGGGGCATTCAGAAACCGGCGCCGGGATGAGCTGGCTACGGTGACGCCGGAAGAGGCTTTGCAGCATCCAACCTGGAGCATGGGCAGGAAGATAACCATAGACTCCGCCACACTGATGAACAAGGGCTTCGAGGTGATTGAGGCGCGCTGGCTCTTCGACCTGCCCTGGGAGAAGATAGACGTTGTTGTGCATCACCAGAGCATCATTCACGCCATGGTGGAGTTCGCAGACGGCTCCGTGAAGGCACAGCTAAGTCCCCCGGATATGCGCCTGCCCATCCCAGTGCGCCCTGTTCTACCCACAACGAGTGGAAAACGGCGCGCTGCCTCGGTTCAACCCGGTTGAGACGGGATCGCTCACCTTTGAGGCGCTGGATACCGACAGGTATCCCTGCTTCCGCCTGGCGTTGGAGGCTGGCAAGAAGGGAGCGACCTACCCTGCGGTGATAAGCGCCGCGGACGAGGTGGCCGTGGCCCTTTTCCTGGAGCGTCGCATCGCGTTTACGAGCATCCCGGACCTGGTGGAGGACGTCCTCTCGAAGCACACGCCCGTGTCCAACCCCGGCCTGGAGGACATTCTCGACGCGGACGGGTGGGCCAGGGAGGCCGCCCGCGCCTGGACAGGTTAGGTAGATATGCTGGGCGGCGTCCTCGTAATAGTGGGTTTCTTCGTGATTCTGATGATTCACGAAGGCGGTCATCTGGTTGCAGCCAAGGCCTTTGGGATGAAGGCCACCAAGTATTTCCTGGGCTTTGGGCCCACCCTTTGGTCCTTCAAGCGCGGGGAGACGGAGTACGGCGTCAAGGCCATTCCCGCCGGCGGGTTCGTCTCCATTGTAGGGATGAACCCCCTTGAGTACGTGCCGCCGGAGGAGGAGCATCGCACGTACAGGGGCAGGCCCTTCTATCAGAAATCGGTGGTGGTGATGGCCGGCGTGGGTACCCACTTCATAATAGCCTTCATCCTCATATGGACTGCCAACGTTCTGATTGGCCGTCCCCGACCCGGACCAGCCTCAGCTTGAGATAGCCCGGATTGTGGCGGAGACCGCCGACGGATCTCCCACTGCCGCTGCCGAGGCTGGGCTGATGGCTGGTGACATGGTGCTTGCAATTGACGGAACGCCCCTCGAGAGGTGGAGCGACCTCACTACGGTCCTGCGGTCCAGCCCCAACCGCTTCGTGCGGATAGAGGTGGAGCGTAACGGAGAGCGGTTGACTCTGGGTGGGACGCTGACCTCACGCATAGACCCTGACACGGGCGAGGAGGCGGGATTCCTGGGCGTGTCCCCCGAGATAGGCAGGATCCGAGACAACCCCGTCGCAGGGATCGGCACTGCCGCCGGCAGGGTTGCCACTTTTGCGCAGCTGAGCGTCAGGGGGGTATGGGAGCTTGTCAGCAACTTTGGCAGCTATGTAAGCGCCGTCTTCAACAACGACGATGAGGCCATTAACGAGGTGCGCCCGGTGAGCGTGATAGGCATTACCCAGTTCGGTGCGGCCACCCAGAGGTCCGGCCTCAACTTCACGCTGGAGCTGATAGCCTACGTAAGCGTATTTGTCGGGGTGCTGAACGCCGTACCTCTGTATCCATTCGACGGGGGCCACTTCGCGGTCGCCCTCTACCAGAAGGTCACAGGGAGGCAGCCGGACATACGAAAGCTGGCGCCCATCGGCGCGCTGGTGTTCTTCTTCATAGTAATGGTCGGTTTACTGGGCGTCTACTTCGATATTGTCCACCCGCTGGACTTTGGCTAAAACACCAAGCCGTGGCGCAGGCGAAGGAAGTCAATTGTTACCCCGCTCCAAAAGATTAGCAACTCCGACAGACAGTCTGAATTGAAGAGGGGTTGTAATGTCGTTAATTTTCGTTGAGGCTTTCGGGCAGCTTATCCGGGACGAGAGCCTGGAGGGCGTTGTGTCAGACGAGGAGGACCTCTATAGCGTTTTCAGAGCGCGTGCTCAATTGATGGGTTGGTCCACCACGAAGGCTCGCCGTCGCCCGTTGCTCTGGCAGATAAACGAGGCGGAACTGACTGCCGGGATTGACGAATCCCGGGTCGGATGGGTGCAGGTCGGACTGGAAGTTGGTGATGTGGAGCCAACCAGTGTACCGTCGGCGCCTGTTATAGGTTACCGTTATGCACCACTTGGGGTACGACGGAGCTCCGTCGAGCCGGCTCTCATACTAGCGGCGTTGGTCCAGTGTTTCGATGACGCGCTCCGCCGCTTTGGGGTCGTTGAGTTATATGGATTCCAGGTTGCTGCAAGTGGCTTGGAGTCCAGCGCACAATCCTGGCTTAACGATCTCGGCGGTACTCTCAATTGGTTTAACACTACCCTGAAGGGACAAGCGGATGCCGTCATCGCATTCGACCAGGAGTTTCTCGGGGGTCATACAGAGGCGGAGTTGTTCGCCAGACTCCCGCGGAGGAACAAAGGATCGTTCGAGTTTGGACCGGTAGTGGCTGTGCCTGAGCAGTACTCGGTCAAAGCGGGAGTGGAGACGCCAATCTGCTCTATTTCCCCTGCGCAGTCAGGCCTCGGCTTGTCGGTTTCGCTGCCCGAATGGACGGCGAGCGCTGCGGCGTGGGTACTCGCAATGGTAGTAGACGCAGCGCGCGCCATCGCGCCGGACGTCAGCAACTTCGCAGTTCGAATAACGCGAGTCAGGTGACGGCAAGCGCGATCTGAGATAGGAATCTGAGGGCGCTGGAAGCCGGCACGCTGCACGGCTATTTCCAGCACCAGTTCATTATAGTTGACACAGACTTCAACGGCGTAGAAGACCAGTTCGAGTAGGCCACAAGCCTTCCCGTACACCGGACCACGCAGAAGTGACAAGGCCGCAAATTGACCCTTGCCCCTTCATAGGGTAGACTACCTTTGAGCCGTAGCCAGGCTTGGGTCAGGCCGCGAGCAATTGGATATAACCGAAGGAGGATTGAAATGCCAGAGCTAGAGCAGGTCCCCTATCTACTGTACGAAAAAGAGGATAATGGCATCCTCTGGATCAAATTCAACAGGCCGGAGAGGTTGAACGCCGTCATCGGCGGTTCCGACAAGAACGGCACCCTGACCAAGGTGGTTGAGTACATGAAGGCCGGCGACGACGACCCGGAGGTGCGGGTCATTGTCCTCACCGGCATGGGGCGGGCCTTCTGCGCGGGCGTGGACATCAGGGGTCTTGAGGACTTCGACAGCGGCGGACCTTTCCTGGGCCAGACGCGCTCGGAGGGACCGGACGCCACTCGCCAGGGCTTCTACTACGCCACGACCAAGACCATGAAGGACATCTCCTACATCAGGAAGCCCACCATCGCTATGGTCAACGGCGCCGCTGCCGGCTTCGGTATGGATATGGCCTTGCAGTGCGACATCCGCTACGGCTGCGAGAACACCCGCTTCATCACCTACCAGCAGGTGGGACAGATCATCGAGAACGGCGGATGCTACTACCTGCCCAAGCTTGCCGGTCTGGGTCGCGCCCTGGAGTTCGCCTTCACCGGCTTCCTGGACGCTGAGACTGCGCACGATTGGGGCGTTTTGAACAGACTCTTCCCCTCCGAGAAGCTGGAGGAGGAGGTGCGGGCCCTGTGCCAGCGAATTATCAACAGCCCGCCTCTGACCCAGTGGATAAACAAGCGCATCATCAGGGCAGCTATAGACAGCAACCTGGAGACCACCGCCGTCCTGACCTCCAACGCAGCCGTTATTCTGGGCCTGTCCGAGGACTCCAAGGAGGCCCGCCAGGCGCTGACCGAGAGACGTACGCCAGTTTTCCAGGGCCGGTAGGCGTCGGCTTTTCAAGAGTTTAGAGGGGAGGCGTGTTTCAAATGAGGCCTCGAAGAGTTTCCAAAGCCATCCAGGTTGGCGATGTCACCGTAGGAGGCAATGCGCCCATTACGGTCCAGTCCATGACCAAGACGGACACCCGGGACGTGAAGGCCACGGTGCGCCAGATTAAGGAGCTGGAGGAGGTGGGGTGTGACATCATACGGCCTGCCGTCCCGGATATGGAGGCAGCCCATGCCCTGCGAGAGATAGTGAAGCAGGTCAAGATACCGGTCATCGCCGATATCCACTTTCACTACCAGCTTGCTTTGGAGTCTATCGCGGCGGGCGTTGACGGACTTCGCCTGAATCCCGGCAACATCCGGGACAGGGAGAAGGTGGAGATGGTTGTGCGCGCCGCCAAAGAGAGGCAGATTCCCATACGCATTGGGGTCAACTTTGGCAGCCTCCCCCCGGTTGGACAGATAGGGAAGTTCCGCGGGCTGCACAGGCACGCGGACGGCGTGAACAAGCTGGCAAAGGCGGGAGAGGCCGGCGAGGGTGAGTTCTCCGTCGTGGACCACATGGTGGCCACAGCACTCTGGGAGATAAGCGTCCTGGAAGACCTGGACTTTGACCTAATCAAGATATCCCTCAAAGCCTTTGACGTGCCCACCACGGTGGAGGCGTACCGCAGGCTGGCCTACATGGTTCCGTATCCCCTGCACCTGGGCATCACCGAGGCCGGGACCGCCATGGCGGGATCGATTCGCAGCTCCGTGGGCTTGGGCTACCTGCTGTACGAGGGCATCGGTGACACCATTCGGGTGTCGCTGAGCGCGGACTCCAAAGAGGAGATAGCGGCCGGGTACGAGATCCTGAAGTCCCTGAATTTGAGGGAGAAGGGCACGACCCTTGTGGCCTGTCCCTCCTGCGGCCGCGCCGACGTGGACGTCATCAAGCTGGCCAACACGGTTGACGACCTGCTGAAGGCCAAGAACTACAACGTGAAGGTGGCCGTGATGGGCTGCGAGGTGAACGGCCCGGGCGAGGCCAAGGACGCCGACGTGGGCATAGCCGCCGGCGTAGGCCGCGCCATCATCTTCCGCAAGGGGCAAAAGTCCCGTGTGGTGGAGGAGTCGGAGATGCTGTCCGCGCTTATGGAGGAGGTGGAGATGGTGGTTGCGGGACAGGAGGCGTAGCAGCCGCCCTCGGGTGCGGATAGCATGGCTCTCGACGTCGAAAATCACCTCGACGCGGTAGAGCGCTCCGTGTCGTCGCCGGAGCGCGATGGACAACCCGCTCGCGCTGTCACTCTCACACGCAGCTACGCGACGACGGTTGAGGACTTGTGGGACGCCGTGACGAACGGTGAGCGTATTCCGCGCTGGTTTCTGCCGGTCAGCGGTGAGCTTGAAGACGGCGGCCGCTATCAGTTGGAAGGCAACGCCGGGGGCGTGATCACGGCGTGCGAACCACTATCACACTTTGCGCTAACATGGGAGTTCGGTGAGGACGTCAGCTGGGTTGAGGTGCGTTTCTCGGAGTATGGAGCCGGCAGCGCGCGGCTTACACTCATGCACACCGCGTACCTCTCGGAACACTGGAGCGAGTACGGTCCGGGCGCAGTAGGCGTCGGTTGGGAGTTGGCCCTGATGGGACTCGCAATACATATCGAGCAGCCGACTGAGCCAATGCCGGATGAAGTCGATTTCGCCACTTCACCGGACGGCAGGGCGTTCATCGCAGGCAGCAGCGAGGCGTGGGCGCAAGCGGCGATCGATGCCGGAGCGGAGCCTGACGCCGCGCGGGCGGCTGCAAGGCGCACGACCGCGTTCTACACCGGAGAATCGGCCGATCCTGCCTGATGCGTGGGCGCTGTTCCATTCGCCCCTATCTCAATCTTCCCCTCTGATGAGACCTTTGAATAGGGAATTATATACCTGTGTCCACAAATTGAGGAGCTAGCGCTTATATTGTCAAGTGTTAGGCTAGCGCGGTACAATTGTACACCCAAAGGGAGCCTATTTCTAGGAGGTTGACTATGGCAGAAGGAAAACCCAAGGGTAGACCAGCCCGTCCCATGCCTCCAAAGATTGATGCTTCTCTAGAGGAGATTGCGGAAGCCGTGCTAAGCGTTCCGTACAGGGAAGTCGTTGCGCTTGTAGAAGAACAGGAGAAGCAGGAACGCCCTGACTAATGATGGTATCGCCTTTCAACCCTTACCGAGGTGCACAAATTATTCCTGGACAGTATGCTAGGAAGTTGATGGCAGACCAAGTTATCGTAGTAGCTGATGCAGTCCATGTTGTGCAAAACCATCAAGAATCTTGGCCGGGGCGGAAGATTGGGCAACTGTGGTGTCGTGGGCAAGCACCTAATGGGACAACACTAAAGGTGTTGATGGATCCCGTTATCGCCGGACAGGCCGGAATGGTCTTGGTATACACCGTTTGAGGAGCCGCCAAGGAGGAGCAAAGTTATGCAGTGCACTCTATATGAGAAAGAGGATGCCATTCACATCACTGTGGGCACTGGGACATCTTCCAAAACCAGACAACTAGATGAAAGTCGATACTTGGGGTTGAATGAGGACGGCGAGCTTGTATGGGTCTCCTTGCTCAATGTTTCCTGAGGGCGTAGACCTAGAGGATATATTTACAAGCCAAGACGACTACGCTACCGCAAGTAGATTTTTGGATGATAACGGCGTCAAGGTCTTGGTGTAGCCTCTATATTGTCTACTTAACTAGCCAATAAGTGTCCTGTACTGAAGTCGCTTGCCCACTGAACCTTGAGCCATGCTAGCCATCTGGTCGGTTGTGTCCAGTGGTCGCACGTTGTGCCTTCCCGAAAGCTCGCCCACGTACAGCCCCAGATGCTTGGTACTGACGTGGTGATAGGTTCCGTCAATCCCGCGCTTGAGCATTGCCCATAGACTCTCTATCCCGTTGGTGTGGGCTTGCTGTCGCACGTACTCCCCAGCACTATGCCGAACAACCATGTGAAGACGATTATCTATGCCCGCATAGGCTGGATGTTCATCAGTGTAGACGGCAGAACCAGGGTCGGTGTGCTCTAGGACAAAGCCTTGCAATGTGGGCTTGTCTAGGGCTAATTGCCTTGTTCTGTTATCAGGACAGGATAGTCAGAGGCCCCATTGCATTATCGGCGGCGGAGTCCAGCTGCGCGGCCAGCGCCTCCGGTTCCGTCACCGGCTGCTGGCAGGCGTAGTTCTGGCAAACGTAGGCGGTGGGGAGGCCGGCCAGCATTACCTTGTCCTCCAGCAGGGGGAGGTCCTGCTCAAAGCCGTCGGAATCCGGGTCGAGGCCCATTACTATCTTGTTGGGCAGGTAGCGTCCGTGTACCGTATCAAGCAGCGCCTTCGCGACCGCGTCCTCGGTTGGACCCACAATGGCTATCTCCTTTGGAGATGCCAGGTAGAAATCGAGAGCGCCCAGCCAGTGCCCGAACCCCTCCGGGACTTGGGCCATGTACTCCCGCACGGATCTGAGGGCCGTGGCGGCCTTTCGGCCGTAGTCGGGTTCTCCCGTGAAGAGGCTTAGCCGCAGAAGCACGTCCGATGCGACCGAGCTCCCGCAGGGCATGGCGTTGTCGCTGAAGTCCCTGGGACGGACTATCAAACGTCTCATGATCGATGCCAGTGTCGTAGAACACGCCGTCTCCGTCGTCCCAGAACAGCTCTATCATCTGCCGGGCCAGAGCGTCGGCCTCGCTGAGCCAGCGCGAGTCAAAGGTTGCCTCGTACAGCGTAATGAGGCCGTCTATCAGGTGGGCGTAGTCCTCCAGGTATGCCTTGAGCTTGGCCTCGCCGTCCTTGTAGGTGCGGAGCAGCCGCCCGTCGTCTCTCATGTTGGCGAGGATGAAGTCGGCGTTGGCGACCGCCGCACGCAGGTAGTCCTCCCGATTGAGAACGGCCGCGCCCAGGGCCATGCTGTGCAGCATCAGGCCGTTCCACGATGTGAGGACTTTGTCGTCCGTTGCCGGCGGGATTCGCTCGACTCTGGCTTCCAGCAGCAGCTTCTTGCCGCGCTCCACGACGTCCGTCAGTTCCTCTACCGGGAGGCCATGTTCATGGGCGAACTCGGCAAGCGTTTGAGGCGTGTGCAGAATGTTCTGACCCTCGAAGTTGCCCTCGTATGTGACGCCAAAGTACCCTTGAAGGATGGCGGCGTCTTGGGGCCCCAGTATCCTCTCCATCTCGTGCGGCGTCCAGACAAAGAATATACCCTCCTCGCCCTCGCTGTCGGCGTCCTGGGACGAGTAGAAGCCTCCCTCCGAATGGGTCATCTCCCTCAGCACGTAGTCCAGGGTCTCCTGGGCAATGTCTCTGTAAAAGGGATTGCCGGTAGCCTGGTACGCGTGAAGGTACAGCCGACTGAGAAGGGCGTTGTCGTACAGCATCTTCTCAAAGTGGGGCACCAGCCAGAAGGGGTCTGTGGAGTAGCGATGGAACCCTCCTCCAAGCTGGTCGTAGATGCCTCCCCGGGCCATGCGCTCCAGAGTGACATCCACCATGTTCAGCGCCTGCGGCTGCTCGCTGAGGAGATGGTATCTGAGGAGGAACTCCAGGACCATAGGCTGGGGGAACTTGGGCGCCGTTCCGAATCCCCCGTACTCTGCATCGAACTTGTCCCTGAGGCCGTTGTAGGCGGAGGCGAGCACGTCCCTGGTCAGTGGTTCCATGCCTTGAGCCGAGCCGGCCGACCTCTGCATAGCGGTTGTTATCTCTTCAGCAGACCGTGCGATGTCGGCGCGTCGGTTCCGGTACGTCTCGGCGAGCGCCATGAGGACTCTGGGGAAGCCGGGCATCCCGTGGCGGTCCTCCGGCGGGAAGTAGGTGCCGCCGTAGAAAGGCTCGCCTGTGGGTGTCAGGAACATCGACATGGGCCATCCGCCGCGTCCGGTCATGGCCTGCACTGCGCCCATGTAGATGGAGTCCAGGTCCGGTCGCTCCTCCCTGTCCACCTTTATGTTGACGAAGTGCTCGTTCATTATGAGGGCGATTTGGTCGTTCTCGAAGGACTCCCGCTCCATAACGTGGCACCAGTGGCACGCCGAGTAGCCGATGCTGAGGAAGATGGGTTTGTCCTCCTCGCGGGCCTTCTGCAGGGCCTCCTCTCCCCAGGGATACCAGTCCACGGGTTGTTGGCGTGCTGCACCAGGTAGGGGCTGGTCTCGTTGATAAGTCTGTTGGGCATATTCTCTCAGCCTCAGTTGATGGGTGCATTATATGCGCTTCCCTTGGGTTAGGCTACCGATAACGTGGGCGGCGAAAGTGGGCCGCCTTGGATTCCGAGCACAGTGAGCACAGTGAGGAGACGGTGTAGGGGCGGTTCGCGAACCGCCCCTACGACGGAGAGTCCTACCTGAGAATGTTTTGTCATGCCCGTGCAGACGGGCATCCAGGGGAGGAGTGGGGTGTGGACTCGCGGCATCTCTGTTGAGCGGGCGTTACTTGGCCCCGTACCTGTTCCTGTAGGCGCTCACCGCTTCAAGGTGCTGTGCCCTCTTGTCGTCCCTCAGGCCGTCGGTCCCCGCGCCAACTGCTACGGCTTCGATGTACTCGGCAGGGGCCTCTATAGCGCGGTACAGGCGCTGGGCGCGCAGGCACACCTCCAGGCGCCGGCTGAAGCCCGCATCCGGCGTGTACGGGAGCAGGTCTTTGAGAGACGCCTCCGGATTCTGTTCGAGAATTGGCTCAAGCAGGACGGCAAACTCCAAGGCGGGGTCTCCCAGAGCAATGTCGTCCCAGTCGACAATGCGCCACCGGCCGTCGTCCGCGACCAGGATGTTGTCGCTCCATAGGTCGCCGTGCACCGGCGAAGACGCCTTGGGGGAGAATGCCTCCATTCCGGCCACCATACGCTCGATACTTAGCGACTCCTCCCTCATCCAATGAAGGGTCTCGCCGGTCACGAAGGCGGGAGGCTGCGCCTCAATGATTGCCAGGTCCTCTTTGAATCTCCGTATCCACACGCTGTTGAAGTAGTCTCCGCACGTGCCATCAGGGGTAAGAGGCAGGAGCGTGGCGCGCATCTCCTCGTCCCCATGTAACCGGGACGCCAGGTCGACTATCTCCCGCGTAAGGCGGGACGATGCGCCAAGGTCGGCGGGCTGGCCGGCGACGTGTTCACACAGGAGGCCGCTGAAACCCGTGTCCGGTATGTCAATCCAGTCCACTATCAGTGGCGCCCGGTATCGCTCATGGAGCGCTTGATTCAGGCCGTACCACTTGCGCAGCTTGTCAATGTGGTCTGGGGAGTAGGCCAGCTTCAGGTGATATTTGATTTCTCCATCGGAGATGGTGAGGGAGCGTCTCTGAATGCTTCCGGCATGAGACAAGTGCTCAACGGACGTGGCAGACCCTTCCAGTCCATAGCGCGGGGCAAGGCCGTCGAAATGGTCTTTGATCAGTTGGGCAAGCTGCTGCGGTCCCATTATCCGGCATAGTTTAAAAGCGACGCTGAATCGGTTGCGTGGCAGGCTGATATACCCAAGTCGAATGCTGCGGTCGGCTCGCTTTCCTTGACCGACAAGGGGTTGTATTATACAATCCTCTTTACGCGATATGAATGGGGGAACTATGGTAGTAATTGGGCTAGCAGGCGGAATTGGCACAGGGAAAAGCGAAGTGGCCCGTATTTTGGGAGAGTTGGGAGCTGTTGTCCTGGAGGCGGATAGAATGGGTCACGCGGTATATCTTCCTAATTCGGACGGATTCCGTGAGGTTGTGGACACGTTTGGCGAGGATGTTGTGGGAGAAGACGGGGAGATAGACCGGCGCGCGCTGGGCGGAAAGGTGTTCGGGAACCCGGAGGCTATGGAGAAGCTGAACGGCATAGCATGGCCCCGGATCAAGCAGATGCTGGCGGACGGCATCAAGGAGAATCAGGAAGCCGGCGCCCAGGTTGTTGTCATGGACGCGGCCATTATGATTGAGGCGGGATGGACTGATCTGAGCGACGAGGTGTGGGTGACCGCTGCGCCGATAGAGCATGTCATTCAGAGGGTGCAGGCCCGCAACAACCTCACTGAGGAGCAGATACGCTCTCGCATAGATTCCCAGATGTCGACTGAGGAGCGCGTGAAGCACGCACATGCCGTTGTGGATAACGACGGGGACATTGAAGACCTGAGGAGCAAAGTAAAAGAACTGTGGGAAAATCGACTGGTCAGTAAAAGGCCTGGTCGGGGGGTAAAATGGCTGAACATGAGAATTACACGTCCTATCTTGCTGAGGAGTACGTAATACAAGAGGAGCCCTTTTACCTGCCGGTGGGCGATGAGATAGAGCTCTTCGAGGTGGCGTACAGCCAGAACCTGCCGGTTCTGCTCAAAGGCCCTACAGGTACAGGCAAGACCCGATTCGTGGAGTATATGTCGTATCGGCTGGGGCGCCCCCTCACCAAGTTAACACCGAACAAAGACGGGAGTGCCCAGGAGGAGCAGAAGAGCATACCCCTGATGACAATCGCCTGCCACGAGGACCTCACTGCCAGCGACCTTGTGGGCCGCTACCTGCTTGAGGGAGACGAGACGCGATGGGTCGACGGGCCGTTGGCCCGCGCGGTGAAGGCAGGGGCGATATGCTACCTGGATGAGATCGTTGAGGCCCGGAAGGACACTACGGTGCTCATCCATCCCCTAACCGACCACCGCAGAATTCTTCCCATAGACAAGCGCGGCGAGGTGCTTGAGGCGCACGACGGGTTCCAGTTGGTGGTGTCCTACAACCCCGGCTACCAGAGCGCTCTCAAGGACCTGAAGCACAGCACTCGACAGCGTTTCATGGCCTTGGAGTTGACACATCCCCCGGCGGATCTCGAGGCCAGGATCGTCCAGCACGAGAGCGGGGTGTCGGAGGAGATGTCCGTTGCCCTGGCCAAGCTGGGAGAGAAGGCGCGCAACCTGAAGGACCACGGCCTCCAGGAAGGCGTTGGCACCCGGCTGTTGATTTACGCCGGCAAGCTGATAGCCCGCGGCATCGCCCCCAGGCGTGCGTGCCAGGTGGCGGTAACCTGGGCCCTTACCGACGATCAGCAGGTGCAGCGCAGCGTGGATGAGGTGGTCAACTCCATATTCGAGTAAACAGGTCTAACCGAGAGCCGTCAGTCCAGGAGAGCGTTATCAACAAGCTAGAACTGGCTATAGATTCCATAAGGGATTCCCTGAGCCAAGCAGGCACAGCGTACTCTGCCGACGACCCCGGCTTGACCTCCGCGGGCGTGATGCTCCTGCTTTATACAAAGCAGGGGGAGATGCGAGTGCTGCTGAACAAGCGCACGGACCGCGTGGAGCACCACAAGGGGGAGATATCCTTCCCCGGAGGCGCTCGGGACCCGGAGGACGTAACCATTCTTGACACTGCTCTGAGGGAAACCGAAGAGGAAATGGGGATTAAGAGGGAGGACGTGGAGGTGATTTGCCAGCTGGACCAGGTGTCCACCAGGAGCGGCTTTGCCATCACTCCCTTTGTCGGAACCATACCGCCGTCCTACCCTTCTCCGAGAGCAACATTGAGGTGGCTGAGATACTGGAGATTCCGTTGGCGGAACTTCTGGACCCGGTCAACCGGCGTGAGCAGTCGAGCATCCGCGACGGCGGCCTGAGCATCGATTACTCTTATGCCTATGAAGAGCATCTGGTGTGGGGCGCCACGGCCAGGATTTTGACCCAATTTCTGGGGCTTGTAACCCCGGGTTTGCGGTAGGTGAATAGTGACCTTTCCAACGTATGAAGAAGAGATCCAGTCCTTTCCCAACGAGTTGACAACGGCCTTCAGAGAGGCCAGGGACTCTGTTGCGAATACCCTTGCCAGTGAGGAGGAGTTCAGGTCGTGGGCCGATTCCGGCCTTGCGATAGCCCGAAGGGCAGGGCGCTCCTGGGAGGCGGCCAAGGAGTACTTCAGGGTGAGCCCTGAAATGGTACGCGTCCTTCCGTTCAATCACTTCCAGCAGTGGGTCTACTGGGGCGGTGCGCTGTCAGAGGATTCCCCGGTGATCGCAGGGACGTACTTCAGGGTTGGCCCGGAGGTGGCGAAATCTCTCAAACCCTGGGACGTGCCCGAGTGGGCTCAGATAGGCAGGAAGCTCTACGGCGGTGGAAGGCGGTCCGCCGCTCTCTGCGCCCGATTCTTTGAATCCAGCGGCGATCTGCTGAGCGTCCTCTCATTCAGCGAGTTCCAGCATCTGGTGCTTCTGGTGGAGTCTGTCGCAGAGAAGTCCGCAGACGAGGCTATCAACTTTCTCACGCTATCCAGGGAGGTCCTGCCCTCGCTGAGGGAGGACACCAGGTCCTGCCTGTCCCTCATCTCCACCCTGGTTAGAGGGGACTGGCAGCAGGCCGCGGGTCACTTCAGGTGGTTGGGGAGGCGCTGGCCAGGATTGAGAGGGTGGAACGCGCCCGGTTCCTTGCTCTGGCAGGCCAGATAGCCGAGGGAAGCGACGTCGACATCCCGGTATTCCTGCAAGAGGGTTCCGTTGCCTTGGGCCGGATAGAGGGTTTTGTGCATGTACACGTCCTGAACCTGGCTGAGGGCCTGGTCAAGCTGGACGCCGGGGTTGTGCCGGACTTCGTGAAGGGCGTACCCTACATCCTCCAGCATGTCAGCGTCAACCAGCTGGAGGCTTGGTACGACGCAGGCGTGGGTATCCTGACTGAGAACTCCGAAGGAGGCGCGGCCTTCTTCAGGGGCGAGTCCGCCCGCTCTGAGGAAGTGCTGGAGAAGCTCTCCATGGGTGTAGAGTTGGGCCGCGTCAAAGAGGTAATCCGCATGTACTGCCGCGCCCTGTCGGCTGTGGACGTGGAGATAGCCGTACCCTCCGGTGAAACTGCGCAAAACAGGGGATGGGTGGCACTGGAGAAGATGATGACGGAGGGCGCTACCGTATACCTTCCGACCGTATCAGAACGTTTCGGCAACAAGGAAGAGAACTTCGACTGGTACAAGGTGGTGGCCACGCACCAGGTGTCCCACCTTGAGTTCGAGAGCTTCGGCTTCTCCTTTGACCAGCCGGCAGCAGTTTTCTCGGACCAGAAGTCGGGGCTGCTGGAGGAGGTCGGCGATACGGCCGTGGCCTGGGAAGGCAACGGCGATGGCGACCTGCAGAGCCTGGAGCTGCCGGACCTGCATCGCTTCTTCTCCCTGTTCGAGGACGGCGTACTGGCCAGGGACATCTTCACCGCAGTGGAGGACTGCCGGCTTGACCACCGTGTCCTGTCCGAGTACCGGGGCATACGCCAAGCCTACAAGAGGGTGCAGGACCAGTCCCTGTCGGAGCGGCCTGCCGTAGAGGAAATGCGCGCCCGGGAGTCCATGGTGGAGCTGCTCATCCGCTTCAGCCTCCAGCAAGGAGACGACCTTGCCGTGCCGGAACGGTATTCGGAGTGGGCGAAGGTGCTCTGGGAGATTGTGCAGCCCCTGTCCCAGACGAGGGCGTCGGTGGAGAGACAGCGCCGAGGCCACCATTCGTTTGTACGATCTCATCTCTCAGATCCCCAACGAGGAGATAAACGAGGGAGACTGGGACGTTCTGAACACCAACGAGTTCCAGGATGATCAGTCGGAATCAGAGTCGGAGGCGGAGTGGGGCGACGACAAGATGGATGAGATCATGAAGAGGCTCATGGAGTTGCAGCCTCCCGACCCCGACGCCGAGGGCCAATCGTACCAGTCTCCTCCCCAAGTGGACTATCGCGGAGACTTCAAGCCGGAGTTGATGCAGCTCATATCTCTGATAAAAGACGCCCAGAAGGAGAGGGGCGCCAAGGGCGAGTCCATGACTCCAGAGGAGATGGAGCAGCTTCTGGCGGACCTCAACCAGCAGTCCATTATGGCCGAGTCGGGAGAGATAGAGCAGGGCGGCATGTTCGGCCCCGACACGGTTGTGGAGATTGGCTCCAAGGGCTCTCCCGAGGGAGCAGTTAAACAGATCAACTTCCCGTATGACCCGGTCTTCGACGAGGAGGAGCGAGGCGGACCTCTGGAGGTCAAAGAGCCTCTGTCCTTCCTCTATGACGAGTGGGACTACCGGATGTCCGACTACCGCCCGCGCTGGTGCCTTCTGCGAGAGAAGGAGATGGCTGAGGGCGACGGGTCGTTCTACAACACCACCCTGGAAGGCTACTCACTGCTCGCCTCGCAGATAAAGCGCCAGTTCGAGATGGTGGTGCCCCAGGGCTTCCAGAAGATGAAGCGGCAGCAGGACGGGGACGAGTTCGAGCTGGACGCCGTGATCGAGGCTATGGTGGACAAGAGGTCTGGCACCTCCCCATCCGAGAAGGTGTACACGCGCCGCAACAAGGTGATGAGAGATGTGGCGTGGCCTTCCTTCTGGACATGAGCGCATCCACCGCCGAGGCAATAGACGAGACTCGAAGGCTGGCGGACGAGTGGGACGCGCCGGACGACCCGCTGGAGTACATGTTCTGGCTGCGCAGCCGCCGCGGCGAAGGGGTGCACGTCGGAGCTACAAGCGCATTGTGGACCTGGAGAAGGAGAGCGTTGTCCTCCTCATCCACGCCCTTGAGACCATCGGCGACACCTACGGGATCTACGGCTTCTCCGGCTACGGGCCCGCGAGAACGTGGACTTCTTCGTCATCAAGGACATTAACGAGGCTATGTCCGATAGGGTCAAGCGCAGGATAGACAAGGTTTCGCCTCTGCAGGCCACCCGCATGGGGCCGGCCATTCGCCACACCATAACCAAGCTGGAGAAGCAGGAAGCGCGCACCAAGTTCTTCTTCCTCATCAGCGATGGCAGACCCCAGGACCGGGGGTACAGCCGCGAGGGCGTGGAGAAGGAGTACGCCATCCACGACACCCGGCTGGCTCTGACGGAGGCCCGTCAGAAGGGCATCATCCCCTTCTGCCTGACGGTGGACAAGGAAGGCCACGACTACCTGAGGGCGATGTGCCAGGACATGGGCTATGAAGTGCTGGCTGACATTCACGCTCTGCCCAAGCGTCTTCCCACGCTGTACCGCAGCCTGACGGTATAAGCCAGCGGCATATCCGCTCAAATGGTTAGCGAGGCGCGGCTCAGCTTATCGTAGAGACCTTTGAATAACCCATAGCGTCATCCCGCAAGAATCGCCCTCACCGTCATTCCTGCGGAAGCAGGAATCTAAAAACGCTGTCCGCAAGGCTGCGATGCCTTGGAAGAAGGGCTTTAGATTCCCGTCCCCGTATCGGAGTACGGGGCAAGCTTCACGGGAATGACGGAGAAGACAGCCTCTTTTGGGAGATACACCGGAGTTATGCAAGGTCTCCGCTTGCGTGGGAAGGTCAGTGCCTGCCCCGTACTTGATACGGGGATGGGGCCAGCAAGTTGTGTGTTCTTCACACGATCCACACCCCACCCCACCTGGATTCCCGCTCGGAGGCGGGAATGACGAGAAAGATGTGGGGGCAGGCTATGAGCGGGAATCTGACGGCGTGCTATAGGCGAGCCACTACCCGTCCGTCTGCCGGAGAAGGTTCCACAGCTCCATCAGAGCTTGCATGGCGGCTCTCTGCTTGACCAGCGGCCGCTGAGGTGGGTAACGGCGGCTGTGGGACAGCACAACGTCTTTGGACGCCAGCCCTATGTGCACCGTGCCAACCGGCTGTCCCTCAAGCTCATCGGGGCCTGCAACGCCGGTGATGCCTATCCCCAAGTCTGCCCCCATGCGCTCCCGGCAGGCCCGCGCCATATCCTCGGCCACCTGTGGGCTGACTGCGCCATGCTCCCGTATCAGGGCCGGATCGACCCCCCAAGCTGCTTTGACTTCGTTGGTGTAGGACACTATGCCGCCCATGAAATAGTCGGAGCTGCCGGGAACCTGGGTAATGGTGTGGGCCAGGAAACCGCCTGTGCATGACTCCATAGTCGCCAGGGTGAGGCCCTGTCTCCTTAGCTCCTCTCCCACCTGCTCCTCCATTACCTGGTCGTCGACGCCCCAGATGTTGTCACCCAGGCGGCGTCGAAGCTCCTGCTCTACGGGGTGTATCAGCCTCTCGGCCTCTTCGTCACTATGCGCCCTGACCCGCACCCTGACCTGAACGCCCTGCCACTGGGCGTACATACCAAGCTCGGCGTCCGGGAG